CGTTCTTTGGATATGTGTGGACACCTGGCGTGAAGGTAATTCCAAGAGACTTTTGGATGCCTTCAACCATGTCTTGGCGAAGATGCGGGATGCACTGGAAGAGGCTCTAGACAAAAAGACTCTGGAGCACTTGCAGATGCAGAGACGAACTGGTACAGTGCATGTCTCGAAGACTGCCCGAGGCGTTGCTGAAGCAGCGGCTATTGCAAGGGGTGGAAACTCAATCAAAGATATTTCAACATTTTTGGGTGATGAAGGCTACTCCAGAAAGAATGTCAACCTGATGCTGAAAGGCTCCTTGTCAGGCTGGCGATGCATCGAGACAACCCTCCAGCATAAGTTGAAGTGGCTGAGGCAAATTGGCCTAAGTCATGATCAAGTAACGAAGGCGGTGGTCACATCACCTGCAATCCTTCGACTTAGCATCGAGAACAACTTGAAACCAACAGTCCAGTGGCTGTTGGATTTGGGTTTGAGCAACACTCAAGTTGCCAAGGCTGTGGCCACTTCCCCTGCAATCCTTGGATGTAGCGTCGAGCAGAACTTGAAGCCGACTGTCCAGTGGCTGTTGGATTTGGGCTTGAGCAAGATTCAAGTTGCCAAGGCGGTGGCCACGTCACCTCCAATCCTTGGATACAGCATTGAGCAGAAATTGAAGCCGACTGTCCAGTGGCTCTTGGATTTGGGTTTGAGCGAGGATCAAGTTGCCAAGGCTGTGGCCACTTTCCCTCAAACGCTTGGACTCAGCATCGAGCAGAACTTGAAGCCGACAGTCCAGTGGCTGTTGGATTTGGGCTTGAGCAAGATTCAAGTTGCCAAGGCTGTGGCCACTTCCCCTGCGATCCTTGGATACAGCATCGAGGGGAACTTGAAGCCGACAGTCAAGTGGCTGTTGAACTTGGGATTGAGCAGATCACAAGTTGCCAAGGCAGTGGCCAGTAAGCCTAATATCCTCGGATATAGCATTGAACAGAACTTGAAGCTGAAAGTTCGGTGGCTGCTTGACTTGGGTCTAAGCAACAGTGAAGTCACGACAGCGGTCGCCAGTTTTCCAAACTTTCTAGGCCTCAGCATCGACAAGAATCTAAAACCCAAGTATTCTTTGCTTTTAGCAGCCTTTGGACCCACTGAAGCTAGACAGCTCATTGCCAAATGCCCGCGAATCCTGAGTTACAGCCAGCAGCGACTGACTGAAAGGCTGAGTGTTCTTGCAGAGCTCAATCAAACAGAGAAGCTGACCAGCACACTTTGCCTGCCAACGCCTGCCTTCGAGAAACGCTTTTCACTCTGACCATCGCTTCGACGATATATTTGTGGTGCGTGATTGCGCTTGACATTGCTGTTCTGGTACTAGAATCCTTAAACAAATCATGAATCAAGGACCTTGCGAACTAAGATCCTTGGTGGGTTGAAAGCACTGTCAGCCCAAGGTTATTCAAGGTTCTTCTTTAGACGTTCGAAAGGGGATGAGGAATACAACATAATACAACCTTGGGGTTTTCGTCGTCAATGTTGAGTAAACACTTGCATCCGGAGCTGGCCCAATCCATGGAAGTCCATTCACCTGCTGCGGATGTGATGTGCCATGATGTGCCGAAGGGATTTGGAAGGTAGGTGACGACCTGCTAGAGATGTGCAAACACAAACATTGGATTCATCAGCTGGACCAGAACCAATTTCCTCAGCTTGGTCGGTTGCCGAAAGACGCAGGGTCTTTGCGACCTGTAAGAGTTGCCAAAACCCTCTTGGAACTTAGATGCTTGAAAACAAGTTAGGATCGCAGGTCGGGAAACTCCACATCCTCGCAGGTTTCCTCCAGGGCGGATGCTTGGGAGGCCTTTGGGCTTGCAAGGTAGGGGAACAATGAGATGTTCCCGACTCGTCAGTTTCATGACATCTGGTTTCAAACTGTTTGAATCCCTCATGTTTGTTGTGTAGAACTGTATGGCTGCTGTAAAACCCATATGTTGTGTTCAACCAGATCAATGATCGAGTGCAGAGTATGATTTGCTTTACCAAAGCATACGTAAACCCAGGATTCTGTGAAGGCCAAAGCTGTAATTGGTGCTTTTCGCTAAGGTCGGTGGTTATATGTTATGTTTTACAATGTTTTACAGAGGGGGACACAAACCGTGTATATCTTCAACAGACACTTACAGACTTACAGTACATAACCTGGTATCCTTGTCACAATGAGATTCCTCACCCCATGTGCTGAATTTGAAGGTCCTTCATGGATGTTTTATTCATTGGGGGCACTGTTGCGATTTGCTGTCAGAAGCAGATTGGGCCTCTCACCAAGCTGAATGGTATTTTAGGCCGTTGATCCTTGCAGTTGGTAATTTGCTTTGAAATAGCAGGGCGAGGTGGTTTGTCAAATCCACAATTCCTACTACAGACCGACCAACAATATTCTAGACAATCTAGGTGCATAGTCAAAGACACTTCATATCAGCGACCCACTTGAGCAATCAATGTACCTCAACATGGAGTCCATGGTGAGTACAGTATGAAATCAAAGCAGATGCATTTCCGTCCACCGGTCTCCACAATCAGAAAACTGGTGGTTCTGTAAACACTGCAATGCATCAATTTGCATTTTGAGAAATACAATGAATATATATATATATATATACAGTATATATATAATTTACATATATATATATATATATTTGATATAGAGTGTGTTTATAGTGTTTACACCTGTTCAAAGACTGCTATGCTACACTTGTTCGCTCCTCAGCAGCTGCCATGAGGGTTGCGGCAAGATGCTTGCAGCAGAGATTCTCAAGTCGATCGACTACGGTGTGCCCCATCTGGTGGCAACAAGGATGGTCCCGGCAACGAGCTGGCAGCGTGGCAGAAGCCGAGTTGTTGGCACCGCTAGGGGAGTTGCTGATGCCCAACACGCCAATCTTGGAGCTTTTCCGGAGCTTCCCATCGCCACCAGGGTGGGCTGGACACTACTTGGAACCGGATTTGACAGCTCATGGGGTGTTGAAGAGCCAACAAGCTGCGTTGTTCATAGAATACGATGGTTACTGGCGGCATGGTGAAAAGGCTGGCATTGACATGGACCAGTTGAAGAACGCGGCTTTGTTGGACTTTGCCCCCACTGGTTCCAAAGTCATTCGCATCAGCCACACTCCATACAAATCTGTGAAATTTCAGTCTGATAAAGCCATTCTTCAGATTTGCGTGGACGTGTGGCGGCAAGGTGATTCCAAGAGACGTTCAGACGCCCTTCACGGAGTCTTGGAACAGATGCTTGATGCATTTCAGGAGGTGTTAGACCCGAAGACTCTGAGGCAGTTGCAGATGCAGAGGGACACGGGTACAATACATGTATCGAACTTTGCCCGGAGCGTTGCTGAAGCAGCAGCTATGGCAAGAGGTCGAAACTCAGTCAAGGAGATCTCAGCTTTCTTGGATGGTGAAGGTTTCTCCAGAAAGAATGTAGACCTGATGCTGAAGGGACCCTTGTCAGGCTGTCGATGCATCCAGACAAACCTGCAGCCAAAGTTGAAGTGGCTGCGGCAACTAGGCTTAAGCCACGAACAAGTTGCGAAGGCTGTGACCATTTGCCCTGCAATCCTTGGATACAGCGTCGAGCAGAACTTGAAGCCGACTGTCCAGTGGCTGCTAGGTTTGGGTTTGAACAAGACTCAAGTTGCCAAGGCTGTGGCCACATTCCCTGCAATCCTTGGATGCAGCATCGAGCAGAACTTGAAGCCGACGATCCAGTGGCTGCTAGGTTTGGGTTTGAACAAGACTCAAGTTGCGAAGGCTGTGGCCTGCAAACCTCAGGTTCTTGGATTTAGCATCCAGGAGAACTTGAAGCCGACTGTCCAGTGGCTGCTAGGTTTGGGTTTGAACAAGACTCAAGTTGCCAAGGCTGTGGCCACATTCCCTGCAATCCTTGGATACAGCATCGAGCAGAACTTGAAGCCGACGATCCAGTGGCTGCTAGGTTTGGGTTTGAACAAGACTCAAGTTGCCAAGGCTGTGGCCTGCAAACCTCAGGTTCTTGGATATAGCATCAAGCAGAACTTGAAACCGACTGCCCAGTGGTTGTTGGATTTGGGTTTGAGCAAGTCTCAAGTTGCCAAGGTTGTTGCCGCCTTCCCTGCAATCCTTGGATATAGCATCGAGCAGAACTTGAAGCCAACAATCCAGTGGCTGTTAGATGTAGGCCTTAGCAAGAGTGGAGTCGCATCAGCAGTCGCCAGCTTTCCAAACTTTTTAGGCCTCAGCATTGACAAGAGTCTGCAGCCCAAGTATTCTTTGCTTGTAGCAGCCTTTGGACCCACTGGAGCTGGACAGTTCATTGCCAGAAACCCTAGAATCCTGAGTTACAGCCAGCGGCGACTGAATGAGCGGCTGAGTGTTCTTGCCAACCGCAACGAAACTGAGAAATTGGCAAGCGTAATGAGCCTTACGATGCCAGCCTTCGAGAAACGCTTTTCACGCTGATGTTTGCTTCGAAGATCACTGTTACAGTCATTGTATCAATTTCATTGAAGATCACCGTTGTGCATTTATCCTCCAGTGAGGCTTTACTTGAACTGTTTGGGTCCTTGATGAGTGACGTGGACTGATTCTTCGAGCCTAAAAGATCGATACAGCAGCAACGTGATGTTGTGCCATCTGACTGCACGGTCACCAACTGTAGGGCTTTAAAAACACTTTGGACCCTGCACAATCTTTGGACCCTGCAGTTTGAGAAGTCCCAAAACTGTTCTTATGCCACATCCTGCAGACGTGTTGGAAGGTGTATGAAGACCTTGCCTAAGAAACCTGCACAAACGCTGGATTTGTCAGCTGACGGCAAATCTCAATGCTGAACTGATAGTTGCCTTCTTGAGCAGGAGAAATATTACCCTTTATCCCATGCTGTTGGTTGAGAAACCACCGATCCTACACGCAACTCAACATGCCCTTCATCCCGCAGGTTTCCTCCAGGGCAGATGCTCAGGAGACTCCAGCGACTGCAGACTTGTGTAGGCAATTCTTGTTTGAACATCACACTGTGTTCAACTCTATGCAACATCAAACTGATGCATTACACGTGTTTAGCCAGTTACCACCAATCAAAAAAGTATCAAAGAACAGTGTTTTGAACAGCTCTAGCTGGAGTCAGCTGCTGTCTCGGATTCCGAAGCCACAGTATGTGTAAAGGAATCAGAGATGCCTCATTGCCAATCTTCCCCCTGTCAGCCTCCCTCTTACCGAAAGTCCAGAATGTGATTGATGTTGAGATCACAACCCTAGACTCGCGGCAAACATCCCCATCTCCTTCACCGAAATGGGCCCCATGGCATGGCTTCAGGAGCTGGGGAAGTTGAAGCAGGAGCTGGATCAGCTGGGTGAGCGCATCACTCAAGGCCTTGACAGGCGAAGAGGGTCCGTGGAGTGAGACCTGGGATACCTAGGAGTGGTTCGCCAGGAAGGCAGAGAGTCCTGAAGTTCTTTGAAGTCAGCATTTTGCAGAGTCGTGTTGTTTTTTGTTTCAGGTGCCTATAAATAATGTCTAATCAAATCGACAAATGCAAGAAGAAGAAGAAGAGGGTTTGGGTTTGTGATGAGAGTTGGCTTGGTTGATTGCTTCTGGATGAGCACCTGCGGGTGAATGCCATAGAATTGTTGAGCATCATCTCCGTTACTCGTCAGTCAACAGCCCATGCCCTGCTCCCACCCATGCCTGCTGAGTACTTCGCAGGTGTGCTGAGAAGGAGGAACTTGCAGAGGTCTCTCGAGGCAAAACTTTGCAGAGAGACGCATGGGTGCATGGCATGTGTGTATTTTCCGTGTGGGAACCTCCGAACCAAGCCCTAATTGTCGAAGCCAGCTTTGTGTGGGAACCTTCCAACCAAGCCCTAGAGGTTTGGATCCCCAGCTGTGATTTGCATGGATTGTACTGGAGCAACCATTCCTTTACGATTTGTGTGTGCATTTGCATAGGGGGACCTCCCTGGTCCCTGGGTAGACTGGTCGATGTTCCGAACGCAGGGAGTCGGAACTCCTGGGAGGTCTGTCTATTTTAAGACACACCCCGGGGCCCACGTCAGCACTGGCAACTGACATCGCCAGAGCAATGCACAACATGTGACATGACACGAAGTGCTGCCCGATGGTCGCAGATGATCAGAAGTCAGAAGTGTAGCCAGGAGGGTCCGATTGGTTTCGAATGTCAGATACCTTATATATCCTTATATAGTGCCGTTGTTGAGGCTCCAGCGGTATTAGACCTCCAGACTCAAAGGTTTGTTTTCAGCCCAGTAGTACTCCACGGGGTTTTCAGACCAGCTGACACTGCACCTCTTCGCAGGCCTGCAGACCAGTGTTGCCTCCGCACAGGAGTGCTTCTCCGCAGTGTGAATGAAGTGATTGGCGCGGTGGTTTCATCGACCCCAGGGCTCCAACGACCTCTCTGGTTCGAAGGTGCTGGTGACAGGGGTCAATGCCAAATTACACACAAACGCTTTCTGTGGAGGAGGCCAACTCCATTCAGTTTTGATGCTTTGTTTGTTACTCATGAAGTTTGCAAATAAAGGTACACGGTGTTCTTTCGAACCAAAGTCTTCCACATTGATGACAAAGTGAGTCGGACATACTGGAGCACTCCGACGATCTCCGATTGATAGCAATATATAGGTAGGAATGCGCATTGTTCAAAAAAAGCGTGTTGGTTTGCCTGCCTTTCTGTTTGCAGGAGACGATGCAGTCCGTCAAGGCGGAGCTTTTGCAGGCGGACCGAAGGAGGGTCATGGATAACCCCGAAGGGTTCTCAACCCACACCGAAGCCGTCCTGCAGTATTACCAACTCTTCATTCAAGGCCAACCCAAACAGGTGTGCCCCTCTCCATGTGATGCACCCTTACTCTCATGCTCACTGGGATCAGAATCGTGCCATAGCATACCAGTTCGCGGAAATGAGTTGCATGATAAATACACCAACAATAACACATATTTGTGTGTTGCCCGCAGAAAGCAATTTGCGAGTGTTTTTTTGTTTAATGCCCCATGGTTTTGCCACTCAGTATGTTAATACTGTACAACAACAAAGGGGACTCCTTGTATGAAGAATGTATATCCTACTGTAAGACACAGATGGACGAAGATGACAAATGCCCTGTTTGTCAATTCACAGACAGCATTTTGTTAGCTTAGGGGTGTCCCAGCCACTTGCTTGTTGGAACGATGCACCAAGACTGTTTCAAATGTCAGTAGAGACATCGGCATCGGTCAGCCTCGGACCCCTTTTGTCTCATGTTTTTGCCGCTCAATGCCACGATCAGATCAACTGGGGTTCCTTTCTGAGGCTGAGACAGTGATACATTCAGCCGCAGGATCATCCTTTGAACCCTGGGACAGGACATGCTAGGTGGAATAAAGATCGTATGTGGATAGCAAAAAAGGACATGATTCAGTTGACTCAAGGTACTTATATAGGTCAACCTGCATCATCCACGCCGAGAGTCCTGTCAGGTTCAAAAACTGGCAGGCGCGGATGAACACAGGAGGGAGATGGGCGTGGGAAATGTTATGGTGGACTGGCTGACGCTGTCAAGGGAAGCGGCCATCAGCAACATAGATATCAATCAAAGCTAAATTATTTAGGCAAAGGACTCATGCTTGCTTAAAGGATATTCAATGTTGTTTACTTGCATAAATATAGACCCTTGATGGACGTGGACAAACACTTGATCCACTGCCCACCTCAAATACTCTTCAAAACCAATTCCTCTGGTTCTGAGGTGGCTCAAGATTTGACAGACCTAGCAAATCCCAGCATCGCTGTTGTTCAAGAACACTCAGTGTAAATCAGAACAATTCCGCGACCCGACCCATGTCTCTACAGCAACGATTCACGCTGTACAGCCAGCATTGTGGAAGGTGTGCACCAGCCCAAGGATGAGGGTTGGGAAGCTCAGGGTGGCTTGGATTGGCCCAGACTTGCCGTCACCACTGTAGGACCAGTGTCATCCAACACTGTACTTGGGCGTGATCCAATGCTCCAAGGATCTACAGCCAGAGGGGCTGGGTTGTTTTATCCTGGAAAAAGAGGTTATATGGTTATGTGAATGTGTACACTTTGTGTTCTTGACGCAAAGATACCAAGATATACCAAGTAAAGAGCGAAACACATGATTCTCAGAAGGAGCAATAGCTGCTATAGCTGGTGATCCAAGGTGTTAAAAGGCTTTCGATTAGCAGCAAGATCGTCGAAGAAATTGTGACTACTAGGTGATGCGGTGGTAGATATTCATCAAGTGTTCATGAAGTGGAGTCCTCCATAGGCACTTTTTCGCAATGAACCTCAATGAGCAGTGAGCAGAGGTCCTTTTGTTGGACGTTTGCAACAAAGAACAGCGTCTTGGCAGCCCGTTTAGTGAATCTAGTTTGGCAGGCGCGCACACACACAGTCAGAACATATCGATCATGGACCCTCATATGGAGGGGACCCGAATCCTCTGAATCGGTCTTGCGTTTCTCACCAATCCCTATAGGTTTGGAGCGTTTGGGTATGACAAATAGCTTCAAAGCTCTCAGTCCAGTTTGTGGATTCGGAGGAATCAGGTCAAGGTCTCAGTTTATCGAAAGCTGGCAGGCAAGTCACCCTCATAGGAAGAACATAGAAGAATATCATCATGTTCCACTTACTTCACTTTTTTGGCAGGTGTTTTGCTCATTTTTTTTTTTAATAAGGTGGTAGACTCCACCTGAAAGGCATTGAAGAGGACTTCCCCTCCCCTACCCGAGCCTTGAGAAAAGCAGCCAAGGCTCGACTCCGCAGCCGAGCACGCGCGAGGCCGATGTTTGCGAGTTCCGTTTGGGTCGGGAGGGCGGACCCTCCATGACCGGAGCTGGACCCTCCATGGCTGTGGGTCAAAGCCCGGAGCCTGATCCTTGGCAGGTTGACCTCCTATAGTAGTCTATTCTGTTCATTTTTCTGTGGTCAACCAGGGTCCTGTTAGCCTGTTTTGAAGTCAGCAAATCAGATAGTATAGGGCGGGGAAGCTTTTTGTTACTCCTGGTTCCTCCAGTGTTCTTCCGTTGTCCTATGGTGTGACGATGCTGAGGAGGAGAAACACTTGGGCCGCCGATTGAACGGATTCTTCCTTTGATCGTTCTGAGCTCTCCAGTTCGGGCAAAGGTGATTGTTGATAGCTGGAGGATGTCGGAGGTGTATCAATGACGGTAAAGGATAAGCCTAAACTAGACGGCTTGGTACACACTGGAAGGACGGAAAGGCCTGTCATGGAGTCC